AATCCTCAGGCTTGTAGTTTCCGTTTATCCCAGTAGGTGGCGCATGGCCATACATCACTATCCTGCAGGGGCGGAGAGACCTTTACAAACGCCTGAGCAGAATAATCCATTTTAGCAAATAAAAGAAGATCATACTTATTTTTACCATGGGTGTGATTCTGTGTAAGTCTGTGGAATGGTCTGCTGCCGATCTTTTAGTTCTTAGCATGTTTAACCGGCAATACTTGTGCGTGATTAAAAAAAAATTCATGTATCCAGAAGGGAAAATTAGTAAACAGATGATGAGAAATTAAATATGTAGCCTCACATTAGACTGACTAATTGGGCAGGAAAGCTTGCATGACCTTTCAAAATAAGGAGGCTGTGAGCACATTCTTTGTATTTTTAATTCATATTCTCTGTCATGAGCATAAAGCCACAGAAAAACTGGAAGATCCAGCCATCCAGACACGGGTTTTAGATTACAAAATGGTAGTGGGAAATTAACCTAGCTCATCTTTGAGCCTGAGCAGTGTTGCTTCACTGGGGGGAAAGGGGTCCCCTGGTACCTGTCAATGATAATGTGGATCAGAAACCCACTCTTACAAATAAAGTAAATTAATTGCCCACGGGGAAGCACGTGAGTTCAGGAACTAGTTCAGATCACACAAAAGACTGTTTTCACTTGTTTGAGTCTCTTTTAGTACATAGTGTGACAATTTTTTGACTAACAGCAGGGCTTTGAGTTTTCGTGAACAAAATCCCAGTTTGTGTTGATATTTTGTATGTATGTTAACATCTAGCAAAAACTGGCACACTTACAAGGATCACCTGGTTATTATTAGGAAAAGTCATAGTTGGTCTTCCATGCATTATCCAACTTCCTGCCACAAACTGCTTAATTACTTGGAATTTCCATGTTGCTTGATACTTCTGGAAAGCAAAACTATTCCAGAACACTGGACTCTGATTTTTCCTAGGCAGGCAAAAGCAAGCCACAAATGCCACTAATTCCTTCACACGTATGTTTTACCCAAATGCACGGGCATTTAGGGGGAGGGCCCTCCACTGCCATATGGTGCAGGGTGTCCCCTGGATGGGAAACCATCTCTCCTGGCCCCTCCTCCTGTCAGAGCCAACACACAGGCAGCCATATTTCAGAGATGGTGAGTGAGCCTGCTCCTGCTCGGGGAGGCCTTTCTGTCCTTTCCCTGAGAGGACCTGGGTCAAACTCATCAGCAAATGAGAGAGTTGCTGTGACAGGCCCTGGGACTGGGCTGAAGATTAACAGAACAGAACAGTAGAGGATCAACACGTAAGACTTCTGTGACCAAGAATTACCATGATAAAGCCTCCAGTCACATAAAAGTGGCCCTGAATGACAATGTCAGCCTTAATACCAAGGCATGCATGAATTTGATAACAACCACTTTTCCCTTCCCTGCCTTTTAAGATGCTTCCTTGGGTGCCATAAGCATCAGGGCACATTTGAAGACACCCCAAACATACGTTAGCCTAGAAAGGGGGCTGGAAGCCATTACTTTAATCTGTGTCCCATTCTTAGGAAGAGATTCCCTGAATCTAGGAAGATTAGCACATATGCTAAATTATTTCCTGAATCTAAGGATTTTAGCATATATGTGCTGACCTCAGAGTTTCATCGCTGCAGAACAGGTTTCCTAAGAATATGAATTCAGAAGTCATTGGGCACTGCTTGGAATTGGCTATCTTAAGAGGTTTCAGAGAATAAAGTTAATGACAGCCTGGCAAGCAAAGGGGCTTCAAAGAGCCTGATCTTTGGACTTCTTCATGTTGAGGCAGCGAACACTTGAAATCTCCATCTATAGTGGCATGTGGTGATGAGCTGAAGACATCTTGGGCTCACCACCTGATCCTGGAATCCTGCAGTTTCAAGTAAAGAACATTGCCAAGAAAACAGCCAAGTTAATTTTTCAAAGTTTTATTCCCCCAAATCACATGCCATAGCCCTGCCTGGCCAATGCCCCTGAAGATCTCCTGACAGATGTCAGGTTTTAATAAAGTGTAGCTGCCTTCTTTCCAGAAATGGCTCATTATGGTTTTAGTATACCCAAATATCACAGAGAGGAAGGCAAAGAAAAATGAGAGATAAAGTGAGGGAGGGAAGGAAACACTGCCAGTCAATATTTAGGAGAGACAGAGAGAAACAGACACAGAGAGAAAAAGAGACAAACTGCGGTGAGCCAGCGTCAGCTAAGACTCAGGCAGAGGGGCTGGAAAGCCGCCTTCGGAGAGCTGTTGATTGTTTTCTGGTTGAGAAGTGACGATGAGGCCGGGATAAAAAGTAAGCAAGCGCGGGCCGGCGCAGAGCCGGCAGCTGTATGCTAATGCTCGCAGAAACCAAGCCTCCGAGTCCCCCATTAAAGCAGGAGGCCACACATCACTGAACAAATAGGCTCTCTCTAGACAAATAAAATAACACACGTTGGCCGGTGGGGAGGGGGAGAGCGTGGGGAAAGAGGAGAAAAAGAGAGAAGGGAGAGAAGGGAGAGAAGGGAGAGAAGGGAGAGAAGGGAGAGAAGGGAAGAGCTGGAGAGGAGACGGGGGAGAGAAGGAGAGCGCAGGGCTGGGAGAGGCCGGCGAAACGGGACGGAGAGGAGAGGGAGAAGGAGGGAGCAGGACAAGGCTGGAGGGGAGACCGTAGCCGGAGGAGCCGAGGGACCGGGGAGGAGGAGGAAGAGGTGGAGGGTGGGAAGAGAGGCCTGGGGAGAAGCCAGGGAAGAGAAAGGCGGGTGATGGAGGAGAGGACAGACGGGATGGGAGCCAGGATGGCTCCTAAGGGAGAGCGAGGCCCTGGGAGGACGAACACCCGGCCCAGGCGAGAAGTGCGCCCGTGGCCCCAGAAGGTCCTGGGCCGGGCCTGGTCGGTCTGGGCTGCACTTTTTGAGGCGAGGCCCGGAAAGCAGACCCCTCTGCAGCCCACGTTCAGAGCCGTCCGGGCCATGCTGTCCGGCTTGGTCACCGGAGCTGTTCCCCGCGGGGCCGGGCCCTCGATCCCCTCCCTCCAGAGGGACAGTCCCCACCCAGGCAAAAACAAACAGCCCTAAGGGCCCTTCAAGGAGCGCGCACCGCCGGCGTCGCGCGGGGGATAAAGAGGCACAGCACCCCGCCGGCCCCGCGCATAATGGGCAAATGGGCGCGCAGCAGATTGCCAGGGGCACTTGATACTCGGGCGACAACTCAAGCGGGTCCCTCCCGCCCGGGGACGGGCAGCCTCTCGGACTCGCCCTTGTTCGCTCTCTTTCATGCACTCTTCTTTTGTGTGGAATTATTTGAACGGAGGTTCCGAGGCAGCTTTATGCTAATGCGCCAGACAAAGGCCAGGCCCGGGGCGGGGGGCCCGGAGTGCCCGGGCGGGGCGGCCGGTCTGCGCGTGTCTCTCGCGTGCCCCGGGACGCACCAGCCCCTCATTCCTGCAAACACAAAGCAGCTCCCGCTCTGCCCCTCTCGGTCTTGGTCGCAGGCCTGGGACGGTGACGCGTTGAGTGTCGCAGGGTCGATGCTCTCGGGGACCGAGGGCCGTGGTTGGGGGCTTTTCTTAAACCAGGAGAGGGGTCTGCAGCAGAAGGGCACAGCGGGTGGGGGCGCCAAAGACTCCCCACTGGCATCTCCAAATGGCACTGTCCGCTTCTCAGCCCCGGAGTCCCCGGTGGCAGCACTTTCTTGAAAGTCTCTGCAGTCTCCGCTTGGATTTCGAGCTGCTATGATCTCAGCGGCCCCCGCGCGAGCCCCAACGGCAGCCGCGCACACCCGGGACCCCCTCCAGTTCCACAGCCGTCCGAGCAAGAACCGCAGCGTGGGCTGCAAGGGCCAGACGCTTAGAGGGCCCAGACTGTCTCCGAAGCACTGGCCAGGGACCTGCAGGGAGGGAGGGGCGCCTGGGACCCGGAGAGGGACACTTGGCTCCCTGATGTGGATTCTCCTACTCACCGGTTCAGTGAAGCCCCTCGGTGGGGGCAAATCAGTGCTCAGGTTTCCCCCAGCCAGACTCTTCGCGACCCTACGGAGTCACAGTGCGAAAGCAGGCCGCGTGGGCACAGGGTAGTGGCACTCCGCTCTTCCAGGAGCGGACAGACACCGCGACCCGCTGTCGCCCGCGGCGCGCGGGGGCTGAGAAGCCCACGCAGAAGGCCGTGGACATCCGCGGCCCGGAGCCGCGAGCTTGGCATGAAGGTCGCTGAGGTGAGGTGAGAGCTGCCGTGCTCCCCCTCCACCCTGGGTCCTGAAATTACTTCCCAGTTCTTATACCTTTCAAGAGTTTCCATTTATTTTTACAGCACCGGCACTCGTCTGAAAGCAGAGTTCGTTTCTGCTGGCCAGACTAGAACAAGAAACGGATACACTGAATCGCAGTACTATCTCAACAGCATTGCATAGATTTCCTTGGTTATCCCGGTTAGAATTCCCTCGGGCAGGGATTTTGCTTTTGTTATTTTGGTGGTGGTGGTGTGCGGGCCTCCCACCCCCTTGCAATTAGAGAAGTTGCTACATTTTACAGATTCATTAAGCAACTAACTCCCTGTTAGCTGTTGAATGAGAGGAGGGTTACTAGGAAGACCAGGTACCAGCGAGTTAGTCGGTGACGGAAGGACGGGCCCCCACTCTGTCCTATTATCCCACAACCCAGATGGGATGCATGATTAGAAAATAAAATTGGCCGACGCTGTCTCGGAATCTCTTTCCCACTTCTAATTTCATCAGCAACATTAATCAGCGCTCCAAAGGGTGAGGAAGTAACATCAGTTACTTTCAGAATGAACACATTATACATTTAGACAAATTTATTTTAAAACTTCTTCCTGTAGGACTAGAATTCATCAGACTTTTTAAAACAAGGATGAGACTTTTCAAAATATATCTCATTACGTGTTTCTTC